AAAAAAAAAAAATTTTTTTTCTAAAAAGAATCGACTGCCAGAAATGATCTATCAGTAATTTCTTTGTTTTTGCTTTATCAGATAGAGGAACAGACTTTAAAGTTAAAATTCGACCGAATTTCGTGGCGAAAGGCTGTCAGTTTCGCTTGGAGTCGAATAGGGGATTCCTTCGCTAAAAGGGAACTCAAAATGATCGCTGTCAGGGGACGAAATTCTCTGACAGATGACAAATTCAACGAGGTAAATATTAGAATATTATCGCAAAATAGATCAGAGAATTGAAACGAATAAAAGTATCGATGATTTTCAGTTACACAATCTGATTCTCGAAATGAAGGAAATATATGCGAGAACAAGGGTGTGTCCTTATAGAACGATAGAAACGAACTGTGATCTGAGTTTAGATCATGGTTAGTTCATTTATTCAGGGTAGTAATCAATAAATTGCAAATAAAAGAAACTAAATAAATGTACATTTCTTAGATGTCAATAAAGCAATGGCGAAATCGAAGGATTATGATGAATTGCTATATTACTGGCATGCTTGGCATGAAGCTACTGGGCCTCAACTTAAAAACAAATATATGAGATACATCCAACTAGCAAATCAAGCTGCTCGACTAAATGGTGAACAAATTTCTGTAATTAAATATAAAATTAAATATAAAATTTCTTTAGAGACACCCAAATTTCAAAGCAAATTTCTGATCTCTTTTAGGATTTGAGGACGCTGGTGATCAAATGAGAGAACTCTTCGAAGACGAATATTTTCGACAGAATACAGCAGATGTAATGTCAGCAGTCATGTATTTGTACAAAAATCTCTTTACCTACGTAAGAACAAAATTATTTGAAAGATACGGCGATAGAATAAGAAGGGATGGACCACTCCCAGCGCATATTTTGGGTAATATGTGGGCACAAAATTGGGAAGATCTTTTTGACATAGTGCAACCATTTCCAGCAAGTAAAAAATTAGACGTCACTCTGGAAATGATGATCCAAAATATTACACCTTTGAGGTGATATTATATAATGATAGTATTCCGATACATTATTAATTGATGTATCTTTTTGAATTTTATTAATAAGAGAATGTTGCAGGATGTTTCAAATAGCGGAGGAGTTCTTTACTTCTCTTGGAATGAAGCCAATGCCACCTGAATTCTGGAGATTCTCGATGTTCGAGAAACCTATCGACAGAGAAGTGAAATGTACACCCAGTGCTTGGGATTTTTGCAACAGGATTGATTACAGGTATTTATCATTACTGATAAATTATGATTTAATGTACTTAATAGATCAGTTTTACAGGATTAAGCAATGTACAAGGGTTACGATGGAGGATTTACTGTCGACACATCACGAGATCGCTCGATTGCAATATTATTTACAATATAGAGATCAACCATTATTATTTAGAAACGAGGCAATTCCAGGTAATAAAAAATATTATCATTGTGACAATAAAAGTTAAATGACTCGTTAATTACTATTTTTGTATAAATTAGGATTTTTCGAAGCAGTCAGTGATGCCATTGAACTTTCCGTATTCACCCCTCAACATTTAAATAAAATCGGATTGCACGATAATTCTACAAACGATTATGGAAGCGATATCAATTTCTTGATGTTAATGGCGCTTCGTAAAGTTACCTACATGCCATTTGCGTACATAGTTGACGAGGTTTTGCAATATTTTATTTATAGGTACGATGTATTTTTAAGACAGTGTATACATTTCTATTCTTTTATTTGTTAAAAGTGGAGGTGGCGTGTGTTTAATGAAGGTGTTACGGACATGACAAACAAATGGTGGGAATTAAGATTGCAATATCAAGGAATTGTGCCTCCAGTACCACGGTCTGAGAGAGATTTTGATCCTGGATCGAAGTATCATATTCCAGCTGATGCTCTTTATGCCAAGTATAA